TTGCCTTCAAAATCTCAGTCTGTCGTCTGTATTTTTCACCTTCCAAAATCACGAATTAATAAATATTTACTTTCGTTTCTTGGCCTTGTTTATTTTTTCCTCATTTATTGACAATAACTAAACGGTTCAAATCGTAACACATCTAGTATTTCTGCCCTGGTGAGCATGAGTACACCAAGTACGATTGGCTATTTTAGTATCCTTTCCAGAAATGTAGGTATACCTATGTTTTGGTAATACTATTCGTCAGGACCTTTGTCCATTTGTCATTGTCTAATCTAGTCCAATCTGTCTGTCCTGGTTGGCCAGAAACCAGACAATGTCAAGGAAAAAGTGAAATGGAAAGAGAAGAAAATAGAAGAAGAGCAAAGAAAACAGAAATAAGACAAAACACCTTGGCTTTTTGACTTGGTTACACGTATTAATTTTGAGGTGAACTGAAAACAAGTTTTGATTCAGGCTTTGTTGGACTGTAATTTTGGGTTTAAAAGTGCGCTAATTTTGTATCACAGTGCGAGGCATGGACATGTTTCCAAACTTGCTCCACTCTGTAGTCCACTGTGTCATACAACAAAGGGTTGCTGTGCGATTCCGCTTGACTATAACGTCGCTGCACCTGAAGCTTGCATGCTCCCTCAAGTAAGGGAAGTCAAGGTCTCTGTGTAGTGTATCATTTGAGACATACAATGGAGCGTTGCAAATTGTTCGTAAAGTCCTGCTTTGCAGTACATTGTGTATCTTGACAAGCAAACGCCAAGCCGCACATGCATAAGTAATGGCTGGTCTAATAATCATTTTATATAGTCGAACTTTGTTGATCAATGATATGATATGATAAACATTATTTGAATGGGTGATAGATGGGGTTAAAAGCAGCAAAAAGTTTCATACAACATGGGGGTCAAAACGGCATTTTCTTAGAGAAAAGCGACTTTAAAGTAAAATAAATCTGTCAACGCCACAAAATGCAAAACGATAACTAACCACTGTTACCGTTTGCGATCGTTAGCTGGTTCGATAAGAGTGATGAAAGACCGAAACGCTGTTGTCATGTGTGTTTTAAATATTTAATTTAATGAAACTTACTTACTGACTACAAATTTTGGCTTAACTTGGAAAAACTTAATGCCATTTATTTGTTAATTACCCAATTTAAAAACGTTTTAGATTAGATTATAAGAATTAGTAAGATTGTAGTGATTGTGGTCGATATAAAGCACTTAAAGTTGTAAACTATAAAGCCATTTAGACAAAAATCTATTGACTTTTGGACCATGGGTCATATGAGCTTTTTGACTTGTTTTGAACTCCCCCTATTACCCATTTCAATAATGACTACCATAACGTTTACACCCTGTATATTCGCCGAAACACAACTTGGAATTTTGTTCTCAACGCTGCTGTATGTTTCTGCCGAGTCATTCCTTCATCAAGAGTGATACCGACATACTTGGCAGAATTTTTCCATAGTATACGATTTCCGTCTACCGAAACCTCGCCTGACGGACCGATGTTTTGATTTGTCACTTTGGTAGGCAAATTAGTAAGAAGTACGCACTAAAACAATGCAATGTAAGCTTAAAGGCTAGGCTTCTTCATGGGCACCAAGCCTCCCCCAGGGGGGCATAGGTATTTATCATGGGGCTCCTTGCCACATAAGATGATTGTTATAAGTTAAATGTTTGTATCTATCCGTTAATTCTTAGCTCCCAAACTGACGAACCGATGTTGATGTTTTTTTAAAGGTAACCTAATCGACCGTGTTCTAGCACTATTCAAGAAAACCTATACCCTATTTCACGTGTATTCATCACAGTAGAATGACTAATAATATCTCAAAATTCCCCATATCGGCACAGGACACATAATTCTGACGGATCCGTCAACGTCAGGTAGTCAGAGCTGTATTTTGTTTTCGTTTTTTGTACACTACAGATTCATTTTGTACTTGCCCAATTATTTAGAAAAGCTCATTTGCATCCAAAAACAAAACGCGACAAACAAGTTTGACTAGATGTACACCCGATTCATTATTGCCAACGTCGCAGACTAATACAAAAATGTCACTTGCTGATCAGCTATTCACCTCAGTAGACGTCAAAGCGTGACGGATACTCGTGAAATCCAGCCTTTTTAGTTCAGAGGACTTTAAAATGTTTATTTCATTCATAATTTTAAGCTGTATAGAAATATATGCCTAATGTGCCTAGTATTTAGTCATAGCCACATTTAATTTGCGACGAAATTGCATTTTTGAATGAATCAACCTCTCATCGCATGACCTACGACTAGCTATAGAAACAGATGCGTTTTCAAAACAGTCGCGTCTAATTAAGAAGCGCTGTAATTGACATAACATATTTTGCGACCATTATTGTGTGCGATAAATTAATTTAGATCACTTTTTCAGAGCGGTTGGACGATTTATGTAATACTTATGCAAGAAGCGTCATTTAAGGATGTTAGTTTATGAAATAAACATGCTTAGATTGAGAGGTTCTGGAAGGTTGAGATGACGTGATGTTACGATTAGACGATAGGACAAGTACCTAAGCACAAAATAATTTTTGGTATTAATAGAACCACCGCAAAGGTAAAGTCGAAATACCGCAACTGTTATAAAAGCGCAGATCTTGTAGACTGAGCAGCTGTGGAAGAAAAGTCAGAAGGGGAAATTTCATTGGTACATTCATATAAAGGAAAACGACCACTGGTCGTTGATGTGGAATAGACACCGAGAGCGACTGTTATGGAATTGCCACATATCAGTCAGATTGCCAGATCCGACAATGAGATGAGCAATTAAATAAATTGGAAATTTAGAATTTACTCTTATAACATACCTCGGTGAAAATTCGGAGCTGGAGAAGCGTGCAATTTATATGCTAGAAAGAGTGTGCAGATGGCGTCCGTGGCCTCGTCACTCGGATTGCTAGGCCACGAGGTGCTTCCGATGTCTCTTTCTAGCACACGTGTTGCACACTTCTCGCGCTTCTCTCTCGTGCACATTACGACGTTATTGGTAAATGGTTTTCACTGTACAGATATATGATCGTAAGTCGTAATAACAAGAACAGTTTGAATCCACAATAACTTACAGGATGTTTTGAAATGGAAGGATAATCATGCAGCTGCAAATGAATCACGTCATGACCTACTATTTGTACTACTAATTCTTTTATTGAAAAACATCTTTTCTGAAAAACATTTTTGGATCCGGTCTGCTTCAGCGCAAAACTAAACATCTCATCCCACCCAGTATTATTTTTCTTTATCATGGTGAGAAGAAATCATACCAGAGTCTAAATTTCAATGTGAACTTGTTTTCATGTCTGGGGTTCTCACGTCCCACTTTGAGACCATTTTTTTCATCGAATCAGGATTAATCGTACAGGCAAGGAGGTATTTGATATGTAAGAGAAACAGTGTCGGATTCAAGACCGATCCCTGGGGAACACCCGCGTTGATGATGTGGGATGAAGAGGAGAACCTGTCAATATTGACGAATATCTTAAAGCCAGAGAGATAGTCTGCATCTGCAAAGCTACTCTGGTATGCCATAGGATAGAAATTTGCATAAGAGGGCCGCGTGCCACAGCTGATCGATCGCTTCCGTGATATCAGGAGTAACGACATGAGCCTCACCATAAGACTGGATGAGCTTACTCCGCAGTTGCGTGACGTAATCTAGGAGGTGCCCTGTGGATCGCTGGTGCCGGAAACCATACTGTCTGTCGCTAATCGACACGTGAAGTTCGAGGTACTCCAGAGGCAATCGATTTATGCACCTCTCCATCACCTTATAACAGAAAGCAGAGCTATAGGTATGTAGTCGTAAGGGTCGGTCTTAGATCCCTTTTTGGGAAGGGTTGGACATGAAGAAACTTCCAGTTTTCTGTGAAGGTGCCGCCGCCCACCTCTTCAATACAACGGCCAGAAGTTTTGTTGATGTCGAGCGACAAGAGCGCCCTCTTATGGTCTTATGCCTGAATTTTATTTTCCCCATAGTGTAGGGAACCCTTTGAACGGACGGCACTCGGGCGTTGGAGGGACGTCCATGGTGGAGATGGCAGCAAAGGCCTTGGCAAGCACTTAGCCTTTGGGTCTATTAGAATCGATCCATCCTGGCCACGTAAGTGGTGGAAGGCTACTCTGTGATAAGTTCCTTTCAACCAGCTTGGCCATTATCCAGAAAGACCGACTGCCATTGCGCTTATATTTGTTTCTGGACGCGACGTAGCATGAAGGAATCAAATATGCATAGCCAAATAGTGCAAAAAGTTTTTTTACGGTGCTGTGTATTTGAAGTAGCTAACCTATGCGATATGGAGAGGCTTCAGAACCATCCTTATGGATATCACTTGGACTAGAAGAATATGACCTGCTCGGATACAATCACTTTGCAGCCAAATGTGCTTCCCATATGTTGCCTTATTGAGTGCAGAATTTAAAAGACTAAACCGTAAGTTGTGTATAAAATCCAAATCCATCCTCTTACTCTTTCCGAAGATGGTATCATTTTCCGTGCCTAAAACTTTGAGTTAGGTCTGAATAAGGTATACACACTTGCTGCAATATGATAATATGCCAGCTCTTGGTCAGATCACTCACAAACAATTAACATTCATACATGTGGACCTTGCGTCGCGGTCTTATTTCATTGCCATCACGATCGCTGGACCTGAATCCACTAAGCTTTTCCATTCAACTTGCTCTAGAGAATTTGCTTACCAAACTAAGCTGACCACAAAATTGGGTTCCAAAATTGAACCAGCCACGAGCATGCTAGTGATTATTCTGTTGAAAATATTTTTTATAAGAAAATACAAGGCATAAATCATAGTAAATCAATGACAAAATAATACTGGAAGTGGCGTCGGTTTGAGTACAATCACCTAGGCTATTTATTATTTTAGATCAGCGCTCCTGTGGACTGGTCTATGATTATGCAATATGATGGAATGCAATTATAGGCAATCCTCATGTCACCACTCTGTAATGTGGATTGCATAAAATTCAGTTTCTTCATAGGAATGTTGTCAAGTTTTTAGGTTAAGTGTAAAAACCAAAAATGTCGCTTAAAACAAGTTTACGTTTATTTTCAGCGTTTCACCAAAATACTGGAAGAGTATGTCTCAATTCCTCGAACAGTTGCCTGTTATTAAAAAACCGCTTAGTTCCTATTACCTGTCCAACAGAATTCAATATTCGTTTTACTGGGACGACGACAAAAAACGAAACGCAAGTATATTATGGGTTACTTACACCCCAAATCAAAGCAGTTAAGGTAAATAAAAGTAGTATAACGCGAGCATAATCAAGGTACTCATTGATTTGTTCTTTCTAGATATTTTCCTTAAGTTCAAGTATAGTCGGTATAGCAGCACAACCATTTTTATATACAGCAATATCAGCTACTGGAAATGTACCTGTTATCCTAGCAGCCTACTCTTTCATTGGGTTTTTTACTGTAGTTACACCCCTACTACTTCATTCAATTACAAGAAATTACATCACACATCTTACATATAAAAAGGACACAGATACTTATGTGGCAAGAACTGTTAGTTTTTTCTGCCAGCAAGTTCAGGTAAACAATTAAAAAGTATTTTATTATACTGTCTAAGTATGCTAGAAGCTAGAACTTAGGAATCACCTCTTAGTGGATCATAACAAAGTAAAGCAACATCAGTTTAGACAATAGACATGGCATGAGTCATTACTTTTGGTTTCTATGCCTGTCTATTCAAGATATTGGATGTTTTCACTAATATGGCTTAGAGTATATTCAAGTTGCATTTACCTCCCATCAGAACAAATGCCATTGTATGATGTTTGAATTTGAGCAGTCTTACTGTCCAGTAGGCCCTGTATGCCTTGACAAGCAGCAACATATGAATAGAAGCAGCACTTGGGGCTCATGTTTGTTATGGTGCTGATTAAATGAGGTTTGAACAGAGGCATAAAATAAAGACTTTTTTGTCATTATGGGGGGAAGGTAAATTCCATGAAAAAAAAGGCATATTTTCAAGATATTTTTTTGTTGATACAATTTGATTAACTTAATTATTAGGTACCATTCAATAACATCTATAGTCCATTCAATTATCAGACGAAAACCTCTATAAACAAGCTACTGGCAGTGCGCAGGCACTGCGTAAAAAGGTACTTTTAAAAAATAAACATCCCCCTAATGGACTTGTTTGTGGTTTTTCAGACTGAATTCAAGACAGATGAGGTCAAAGTACCAGATATACCAGGCATGTTCACAACATTTATAGTGAAAGGGAAAAAGCTTTTCTTGGACCCCAGGCTGTTTGATAATCCTGAACACTTTGCTAAAATAATGGGTTATGACAAACCAATTGACTTTAAACTTTACTCAAATGAGGCTGATGAGAATTTGAAGAAGCAGTAGTAATGTTTGTTGTATTTATTGTGTATATATGATAGCATTTAGTTAATAAATATGTTAAATTGTTTTTTATTATGTTTAATATTCAAAGATACCAGAGGCCCCTGGTAAGAAAAGAAATAAACGAACTTTCCCAGTTGGATGAAGAGTAAAGGTTGATTCTCACTATAAATTACATTCAGAAAATTATTGAAATTGAATATTCGCGTAAGGCAGGCTATTGCGTTTGTATGCACATTTCCCGTTCACATACTGGTCTATAACCCTTCCATACCCATTCCTTCGAAACGTATTTTTGACGGACAGGCGGAAACGTGTCGGAAATGATATGGCTAGTGTGAAGAGACGTTCCATAAATGCATTCTCTAAATTAATTTTTTTTTCAAATTCTGTTAATATGTGTCATCGTCCATTAACTTCGGAAATAATGTAACATATTCTCCATCAACTCTGTGTTACTTCAACATATTGTGAATCCCGAAACGCCTTTTTCGTTTTCTTTTCAACGTTCTTCCTCGTCCAAAATAACAGCGGCAATAATTTAATTTTCTTCAGACAATATATACTAAGTGACATATAAATCCGAACACCCAGTTTAAATGGTTTTATTTTATAAAATTTTGTAGAATTACTTAATGAAGCATAATAAATAAATGATAAAAATTTCAAAATGATTGCACTGCTTTAAAACCCTTTGACCTTTAATAATGTGTGGATGCACCCTGATGTGCTATGCATTCTCCAACGCGCCTAGGCATGCTTCTGATCAGGTGGTCAATGTCCTCCTGTGGTATATCATTCCAGGCAACCACCAACTCCTCTCGAAGTGCTTCTAGAGTCTGAGGAGGACGTTGCAAATTGAGCAATCTCCTACCCATCATATCCCACACGTGCTCAATTGGGGATAAGTCGGGAGATCTTGGTGGCCATGGTAACAATGTGACATCATTATGTTGAAAGAAGTCTATTGTGACTCTTGCAACATGTGGTCGGGCATTATCTTGTTGGAAAGTTGGATCTGCCAGGGTGTCAAGATGGGGTTCTAGAACTTCGTGGATATAACGCTGCGCGTTCATGTTACCTCTGATGAAGATTAAAGGTGACCTGGAACCATAAGCTATAGCACCCCAAACCATAACTCCAACAGTGTGATGAACATGTCTTTCAACAAAAAACTGTGGATTCCTCCTTTCACCACGTCGCCTTCTAACCCTGGCACGACCATCGTACAAGCCTAAACAAAATCGAGACTCATCACTAAAGACAATACTGTTCCATTCGTGATCCCAGAGTGACCGTTGTCTGCACCACTCAAGGCGATTACGTCGGTGTTCTCTAGTTAAAGGGAGGACCCAGTGAGGCCGGTGTGAACACAAGCCAAAACTTCTCATTCGTCGGTAAACACTTCGCATGCCAATAGGTCTTCCGTTTTGAACTACGTATATGTTGCATATACGAAAATACTGAATATGGAAACGTAAGGTATATACAGGGTTATCCAAATTAAGTGTCCACCATTAGTAACTTTGTTATTAGTGAAAATACAAAGTTGTTTGAATTAGCAAACTAGTAGCATTTTTAACGCTGGTAAAAATGAGAAATAAAAAAAAACAATTGAGAGTCGTTATTTTGATTTTTTTCAGTAAAATAACATTTTTTGAAATGGAAACCCCTGTATATTATATTTTTTTCTGTTAAAGCATCAAATTTTAAACAAAAAAGCTGACAATAACTTTTCTCCTAGGTTACAAATTGTTGAAGTTATGGCCTCCAATCTGAAACAATTAAATTGTATCAACAAACTTTATTTTCAACATCAACTTATAATCTTACAAAATACAATAACAATTTTTTTTAAAGAAGATGCTCGAAAACACCACCTTGTTCTTCAATACATTTTTGGGCACGTTTTTCAACTGCTCGAACTGTCTAAAGTATGGTCCCACCATCTATCTGGGTTATCTTTTCCCTAACTGCAGTCTTTAACGCGTCAAGGTTATCGTACCTTCGCTTGTAAATTTGGTTCTTTAAGTAACCCCACAAGAAGTAATCAAGTGGGTTTAGATCTGGGAGGCACTGTATTGGGCCATTTGTTCCTATCCACTGATCATTAAAAGTAGTACTTAGAAAATGATAAGTACCTCTGGAGTTGTGGGCAGGTGCGCCATCTTGCTGAAAATGCAGATGATGTCTACTTATATGATCCAATTCGTCTAAGAAATTAGTCAGAATTTCTGACATAAATTCCACATATCTTTCACCAGTTAGGGCTCCCTCATAAAAGAACGGGCCAACAATTTTTGAACCAATTATACCGCACCAAACGTTGAAACTGAAACGGACTTGTGGGCCTCTTGGATGTACTAACAAAAGATTTTCTCTTGACCAATAATGGTGGTTTTTTCTATTAAACATTCCAGAATTTGAAAAATTTGATTCATCTGTCCATATACTGTGTATACAATCACATTGTACGGAACGTTTACGAAACATCTCGAATGGAAACGGAATGTATAGTGAGAATTGAGAATCAAACTTAACCTCTTAAAACCATAAAAACTTGTGTGCACTATGTGTTGCCTATGTGCTACCACACTCTACGTTTAACATTAGGAAGTGACTACTACTCCGTATAAATAATTCAGGACTTTTTTCATTGCAAAAGATTCCATATCAACTTATGCAGCAAAATCAGGTTTCCTATTTACAGGCAACCCGCGCCTATTATCTGGAATAAGACAGCCTGTCATTGATATAATGTGAATTTACAAAATTGTACAGAATCATTCCAGCAACCAATCAAACAGTTGGGGTATGAGTTTTTATTATGAGTGATCTTGATTTAATAGTAATAAAATCGACTTCATCTGCAAAAAAACGAGGTTAAGCTCAGAGCTATTCTTTAAAATGAGAAAAAGAAATAAATCTATATTCCATAATATTACCTGTTATAATCCACTAATGATTTAGATGCTTCTATAGTATAAATACTTTTTAAGTGTAAATACTCTTAAAAAGTAAATGTTGGCGTCGTTATTTGTTTGATTTCTAACAGGAGTGAGTAAACAAAATACGTGAAACTTCTGTCAGTCAATGACTAATTTTTAACTCACTCCAGTTTGAAATCAAACAAAAGTAATTATACAATTGAAACAAATCATTAACGCATTATAACAGATTATAAGTAAACAACAACAAAACTGGTGGGCGGTCTTTAAAAATCGAAAATACCACACAAATATTTATTACTGTGATATTTTTACCCATATTTGTATGCATAATTTGTAGTGTTTGTTTTTTACACGTATATTACTTTCTACTTCACTACTGTATTAAGTTTACGTTTACATTGTATAAAACTGACCTGTATAAGCACATTTTGTGTAATAACACAAATGCCACATTGGGCATTGAAAAAGTTGATTCAAATTAAAATAGCTTTGACATTGTGTTATTGTGTAAAAAATAAATACAACCCTGACATGAAAATGGGCGATATCCCTTTTACTTATTGGTGCATTAGCCACTTCCAAATTTAAATCATGGTCCACGCGGTGCATCTTCTACTGTCACTGTCAGGGTCTTCAGCTGACGTCACGTCACTGTCACCCCTTCCCATTTTTCTCACGTTGTTGGTTTGTGTACAAAGTTGGTACAAAGTAACGGCGGCTTTTTGAATGATATATAAGTGGAAAAAACACAATATTGTAATCAGACTGTTATCGTCAGAACTCTCGCGTGTGTTGATTTACGTTCGGCGAGGTTTTGTAGTTCATAATAAGTTCAGAATTTGGAAAAGGACAATGTCATCCAGTGATAAGGCGGCTGATCAGCTCCCCGAATTCAAAAACTCTGTTAAACAGGTAATTTTGGTCATTGATTATCATTTGAGCGGTCATAATCATGTGCACATCCAGTTTATATCATTTTTGGTTCATCGAAATGTGTCCTGACGCAGTACAAATTGTACGTACGTTTGTGTTGTATTGTGCACAAAAGAGGAATCTTACGGAGAAAGTGAAATAAGAAATGTAGAACACTACCAAAACTACACGAGCACATGTAAACATTTACAAAACACGCTAGCATTTTGTAATATTCCTGAATAAATTATACATTAAAGTGTTTGTATGATAGAAAAGCTAGTAATCTCCAGTGGCGGCTAGAGAACTAGGTTGCAAAGGGAGCTCTATCAAGGGACACAATATATCCATCTGCTCACAGTATTGCTTGAAACAGCTATATGTTTACAGAAATTTTTCATTATGAAATGTATGAATGTGGTGGTGTCTTGTGGGGTCTGAGAACACTGCATTTAAACAAAAACAGTCTTCTGGCATTGGTCACTCACACATCCTGCTGTTTTGCCAGCATGTTGAGACCATATGCTCATATCCCCAAAAAATCCGTCACTGAGATTTTTCCATCTAGATCACTCGAGTGTTTGCAGTATGTTTTCGAGTATACTTATGTCAATCCTTTTATGATTTGATTTTATTTGTTGTGAATTTCACCATATTTGATATAGTACTTGATGTTATATTTGTTGTTACATATACTGTAAATAAACAATATTATTAGTT